GTTGCAAAAAGCTAAAATAAGGCTTTAATGATAAGCTTCATAACAATTGGAGCTATTTCAAAGTGGAAGGAACTGCTTCAGGAGGTAATGGGTTCCCAAGGTTGGGTAGCCACTTGTCAAGTGTAGAGGGATTTTTGTTCCATTATGGATTGAACTAGGTAGCTTCTGATATCCCTTCCAAATCTGAGATTCTGTGATTGTGTGATTGTGTGAAACTAAACTTTGATAGGTAAATTGAATGGCTTTGCACACAAGATGAGGAACTTGGACTTGATCCAATAAAAGATTTTTCAGCAATGTATGACATAATGAAAGCATGTTTTAGAAAGATAATTCTGACAGCCATGTGTGAGCTGAACTGGAAGAGGAGAGACAGGAGGTAGAGAGAGAGAGAGACCTCTTCAGAAGCCCACCACAGTAGTCCAAGTATAAGGCAATGAGAATGTAGAGCGACTACCATGGCAGCAATGGGAGTGGAGAGGAAATGGTGACTCTTAGGCAGAAATGATCTATTTATTTGCAGGTTCAATGAGCCAATATAATTGGGGGTGGTTCCAAAAAGAAGCCATAACATGAGAGGTTACTCTGTGCTCCCTCTGGAAGAGAAGCATACCTTTAATAACCATGTGACCTAGTAACAAGAAAACAATTTATGGAAGCATTTTTGTTCTTTTAAATAACATCCTGTGTGCCAGGCCCAAAGTTTCATACATCAACAAGTGGCTATGTACATCTCTGATATATAGTCCACATGTACAAATGTGGTAAATACTCACTAAAACTTTAGGCTAATGTATTGAAGGCAAGTTTAAATCAAGTTGCTACATAATCTGGAAAAAATATGCAATTTTTCAAATATTCTAAAATTCATATTTTCTATAAATTTGCTCAGTCTATTAGAGGTAACATGCAATAGTGGATGGCTAGCTTTCCTCAAAGCCAGGATGACCTAAATGCAAATCATCCTGCTTCTGACCAAACTGACTGTGTGATCCTGGACAAGTGACTTAACCTCTCATTGCTCTAGGCAGCTTTTAAAACTGTAAGCTGCCAAGAACATGTCAATTTGCATTGGTGAAAGAAGTTTTCTCACGGAGGAGTTCCCAATACCAATGACATAAGTCTTGTCCCTGGCCCTAATAAAGTGTTAAGCTGATAGTGATCCCGCTTCATGATTGGCACATCCATTGGTACTCTTCTAAAGTGCTTATAAATAGTTTCCTAACAAAGTAGACATTTTCTTTGCAGTCTTACTTACATCACTAATTGGTTTCCCAATCTTTTCTTCATAGAAAGCATAAATCAAAAGTTATAGTGGAAGGATTTAGAGTTGAAAAAAGACCTTAAATGTCATCTAACTGAACCCCTCTCACTTTTCCAATGGAGAAACCTAAAATGGGGTCTAAATGAGTGGTTTCACTGAATTCATATCAAATCTGCCTTTTCTCTTTATCAATATCCAGCTAAGCAACATGGGGAGTATTTAGTAACTGTTTGACCTTGAGCTTTCTGAACCTCAGTTTCTGAAGTATTCCTTAGGTTAATAATACTTGCCCTCTAACAGGAAACATATCAGCTCATTTTTAAAGAACAAGAGGTGGTGATGGAATCATTGCTTGTACTAATTTATGGCAATTTGAAAGCATTGAGTATCAACAAATGGTCCCTTACAGCAAATTATGGCAGCTATTTCTGAGGTTAAAACAGGCAAGGAACAGACAGGAAAGGCAAATTTTACAGGAGCTTTACAACTTCAACTCTTGCCAACAATACCAGACAATCAGTCTACCACATGTTGGATAAGACAAGACAAACTACTTATACATACATGGAGCGACAGCATTAAAACCTTCTCACTGCATTGAAGTTCCCGAGGCTTGGGGACTTGTCGTTGTCTAGAGCGCCGCTTTCCAAGTGTGACCAAACGCCACTAGTAAAATTCCACATATTCAGTGTAGAGAAAATAGCAACAACTCAGTCTCTGATTCTTTTTAAAATAGCTCTCCTTTTTTCTTTGCTGCGTGGAGCAGCAAGTTCTTATTTACTTGAATTACTTTATTCTCTTGAATAAAGGTAATTGCAGGTAATAAAGAACCGCATGTATGGCTCTTTCTTAGATTAAAGAAAAGGAGGCAAGGATAGAATTTAGAAATCAAAACATCAAAAAAAGAATGTTAAAAATTGTTTTTACATGTAATTGGGGTGAAAATAAAATATTATTTTTTTTAATTTTTTAAAGATTAAATAGAAGAAGAACCTCTCCCAAAGACAAAGCAGGACAAACAGAAGCCAGGCAGTAGGAAGTTATAAATGATGACCCCATAAAGAACACATATTAAAATAATAATAATAACAACAATAATAGCCAACATTTATATAGCCCTTACTATGTGCCAGGTACTGTGCTAAGCTTTTACAAATATTATCTTATTGGATCCTCATAACAACTCTGGAGGTAGATGATGTTATTATCCACATTTTATAGATGAAGAAACAATATACAAATTAAAATAATTTCTGAAGAAAAAATAGTTGCTGAAAGAAAAGCACTTTGTAAAGTATTATATAGGTATAAGGAGCCATTGCCATACATTTCACAGGGTGGTTGTGAGGCTCTAGTAAGATAATGTACTTAAAAGTGATTCAAAAACTCTAACTAACCCTAAAGAAGTGAGGGAATATTAACAGAGATATTTCAAGTGGAATGCAAGGCATTCTGCTTTTGACATCTTTGGTGTCCTCTTCTTATCACAGTCTTTATCCACCTGTTAAAAGGTGTTAAATAAACATCATGAAAAAGATCATAAATTCCGGTCATCATATGTCCTTTTGTGAAACCTGTGACCCTCTCAGATTAGCCTCAGTAGAGGACAGTAAATCCTACCACACAGCAGTAGGTGCTATGAAATCCCTGCTCTTCCTCAAGTGCTCACGCGGCTCTCAGATTATGAGAGCCCACATGAACACTTTGCACTATCAAAGGTCACAATTATCAAGGATCAAAGCTGGTGCTGTTCCTGTACAATGACTGCAGTTATCTCCCAGTGAAAAATATGGCTCACAGCATGGAGCCTTGGTCCCAAGTGCCCTTTACTCACAGTGGGAGGTGGCTGGCAGCAAGCAGAGTGTGATGGAAAGGGCACTGGATTTGGAGCCAGAGGACCGATCCAGATTTTAATCACCACTCACCACCTGCGCCACGTTGGGCAAGTCACTCAAAGTTTCTGCGCCTCGGTTTCCTTTTCAAAAATGGGAGAGGTGGACAAGATGATCCCTAAGGTACCTGCTGGCTCTGGAACGACCCGTACTCTTGTGATTTGACTGAGGGCCCTAATTCGAATGTCTTTTAAGAAAGCAGCACAAGTATACACCTGCTGGAAACCTAAAGAGACTCATGAACCAATCTGTGGGATTTGTGTTTCTGAGCAAGCAGTCAAGCCTTTGGAAGTACGGGTCGCCCTGGACCCCACAGCTCTAAGAGTAGCCAATAGCTCAGGGAGGAGAGAGGAAGGTGACTGCTGGAAAGTACTGAAAGACACCCAAAGCTCCTCCTGTTAGGACTGCACAAAACTTTTCCACTTCTCTTTCCACATCGCCTTTTTGTGACTTCTTTTTCCCTTCAACACAGTCCTTAAACACTCATTTTAACCTGAATCCATGAGAATAAAAATTGGGGCTTGGGCAACATGAACACACAGCATTCCCTTTCTCCTTCTTCTACCCCAACTCAGCCTACCCAAACTCTAACCTCACTCTCCTTTTTGTGGCCTTATGCATAGCTAATTAAATACTGAGGAAAAACTTTTTAGAAGCCAAGATTTGCTCATATAACTTGATAGAAGGATAGTTTTCTGGTTGTAAATGAGAGGTGACATTTAATATATAATTTAAATGTAAATTTAATACCAAAGACAATACAATATATTCAATAATATTTTTTCAAGAGCTTAAAATGAACTGTTCTCTCCCACATGGACTTTCCACACACACCACCCTGCCCCCAGTTTCTTTCTTTCACTAGATAATTATTAACTGTCTAGCTGGTTAGTTCAAGCAGCCTGTTCAAGAATCTTAAAAACCTGAAATATATTACAGCTTCTGCATTACTTTGGGCTCCTCTCTCTCTCTCTCTCTCTCCCTCTCTCTCTCTCTCTCTCTCTCTCTCTCTCTCTCTCATTTTCAGTGCTCTGGTATTTCTTCCTCTTCCCCTGAGCATGCAGCAAATACTGCCAAGATGGTAGAGCACAATAAGATGTTGGCTGTTTCTGACCCACCTAAAGTTCTCAGAAATGTCACCTTCCCCAGATGAAAGGTCAGTCACAGAATGAAAGAACCTCAGAGCTTGACTCACCCCTGACCAAGAATCCCATCTACATCTCCAACAAGTGCTTATCCAGCCTCTTCTTGAAGGTCTTTGGTGGGGGGTGGAGTGGCTGTATCCCACTTTTGAATCATTCTCATTATTAAGGAGCTTTTCCTCAAACCAACCTGGAATCTGTCTCACTGCATCTTCCACCAATTATTCCCACTTTGATTCAATAACAATAATACTAACAAGACACTTTAAGGCTGATGAAGCTCTCTCCTAGTAACAATTCCATGAGGTGAGTTGTATAAGCATCCTTATCCATGTTTTAAAAGAAGCAACTAGGACATGGTAGGCTTCACACACAAGACTCCTAACCCATAGGCCAGGGCCCTTTCCACTACTCCAAGCTATCTCCATACTGACTCCCATCACGGGAGCTGGATATAGTGTGACAGGAGGGTTTACTTCTTCTCTGGGCTTGCAGATATGCCATACCTATCATTCAGAACTTTGATTAGATTGACCTTTCATTCCCAGGAGGATGTTTGTGTAGCCTGGGAGGAGAGGACAGTGAGCTTATAAATGATTGGTCCTTATTAGCAAAGAGTCAAGGCTAATTTCCAACCCCACAACCAATATCATGCACTGCTCTGTTTGACTAACATGCAACATTTCTCCAAATCCGTAACAGGGAGAGAGAAGAGGGTCTCTGGCATTCATCCGTTCACCAAGTACTGACAACATTGTCAATGTGGACTTCAGCACACCTCGTCCATCTACCGTAGAAGCCTCAGTCTCCTACTTATTGTAAGTATTTTGTTCACTGGGTTTTCCTTCAGTAGAAAATATGTCAGATAGATGAGTGTCTGGGTCCGTGTGTGGAAGGGACTGTGAGTGGGTAGGTCAAGAGCAATCTGTGCCCGTCCTCTCTCATCCTTCTCCCTAGCCTTGGAAGTGACCCCAAAGTTGTTTCTCTTTCAACAGTGTTGCTGACCAGTTTTAACTAAGAAGAAAAGAAACTGACAGGAAAGGAAGAATCCTAGTCCCTTGGTGTCTAATGTTCTCTTGAGACCCATGACAATCATAACAGTCAGTTAGTTAATCAATGAATGCCTCTATTCTGTATTTAGTCCTGGGCTAAGGCGAAATTGGATCCCTTACACTAAATCCCAGTTGTGTGTCTGGCAAGGATCCACTCAGGAAGGGAAGAAGGGAAATAGTGGGGAAAGCTACATCAATCCAGTCTCCTTCCTCTTATGCAAAACATTGTTTTATTGGCTAATTAAGTCAAACTGTGTTTGTCTTCCCATTGCTAAATGATAATAAAATGAAATGGTGATTTAGGGGACAAGCATCAAAGGTAACAGCGGAAAGTGTCTGAAGTCATCACCCTGGCTCTACTGCTCCTGGAGCATATTATGTTAGAGGTAGCAGGGACCAGAGACATTCCCAACCCTAGCCCTTTCCTCTTCTAAAAGAGGAAACTAGGCGTAGGTACTGACTTGGTACCATGAGTCAGCCATGGCACTTTCCTACCTGTGGATTAAGAGGAACTGTGACTCAGGATGAAAGAATTGTGGCCTTAGGCCCTAACAGAGTCATGCTCTTTGGTGATTGAGGCAGTTTATACTTACCTGTAGTTGAGAAATAATACATTTTGTTTGTTTGTTTCCTATTTTAGGAGAGAAAATGTCAGCACCGTTTGCCTGGACATGCAGGCTCTAGAGCAGAGGAGAAGGAGTATTCGGGATACAGAGGACACTGTCACTCACCATACACTGCAACAATATCTCTATAAACCCAGACAAGAGGTGAATGGTCACTGTACACGCCATACCCAGAATTTTTATTAGTGCTGATACTTTGGACTTCTTTGATAAGCTAAAGACTTAACAAACTAATAACGCTATTCAGCATAACTCCTCTCAAAGCAGGGAGCAAGTTGACATAAAGGGGTACCTTCCCTTCACTCCCAACATATCTGCAAATGAGGGCTGCTGTGAACACACTCGGGGCCTAAATTCCCCCTCTCACACCCCACCCCAAAGCGCCTAGTGTTGGGGTAGGAGGGGATGGGGACCAATAGGGAGAGGTAGCTTGCGAGCTGACTGTCAGCATTGTCCAGCATGGTCGACCCCGTGAGCAAGCAGAGGGTCTTGCTCCATCAAAGCCCTGCTTCCTTCTTTCTGCAGCTACACAGACTCATGAGCACATGACTTAGCATCTATGGGCCCTTCCGTTGTGTTGGATTGGGAAGGTCCAAAAAGAGTGAACGACTTATGAGGGTCAATGAGTGACTTCTGAAAGAAACTTCCTGGGTTTTGCTACATGATTCTTTTGCTTCTGCAAAAGCCAATGAGACAGTAAAATACAGTATTTCAACTTAGGCCCATCAGTTTTGCTTTTTTTTTCCTGAAATAATAAATTGCAAAACTCAAGGTCCTCATACACCAGAATGGATTTATTGAAGGGCTCTGAATAGAAAGCAGGTCAGAGTTGATGAGGGATAGAAGCCCTAGTATTGGTCATTGGAGAGAAGTTAGTTAAACCCACAAAGTTCCTTAGAGTTCATAAGTAATCCAAAGCCCTCTAAGGCATGTGCATGACTTGGTTCCAGCTTAATTACCTGTTCCTTTATTGCTTCATTTGTTTCCATTTCCTTTCTATAGTATAAACATCTTTACAGCCGGCATGAGTTAACATCAAATGAAGATGAAAAACAAGACAAAGAAATTTTCCATAGAACAATGAGGAAGCGCTTAGAGTCCTTCAAATCTACCAAACTTGGAATAAATCAAACCAAAAAGACTGCCAAACTCTACAAAAGAGAGCGCGGCCAGAAGAGGGTAAGGCACGTTGCTGTGTGTGGGACAGCGTTCAAGGTAAACTACATGGGGTAGCAATTTCATACTGTTTCCTGACTTCAGTAGGCGATAGTTCCATCTTGGACCCCATTCAAGAGAATTTAGTTACTGAGGTTAGTTGGTTACTTATAATAACTTAGTTAATTACTAAGATAGTTTCACCTCAGGTGGACAGTCACTTGGCATGGACCCTGAAGAGAACACCAGAATGAGATGCAGGTTAGTGCAGTAGAAAGAATGCTGGACATGGAGCATGGAAGACTTGGGTTTGAATCCTACCCCCAACATTTACCAACTGTGTGACCATGAACAAGGTGTTTAATCTCTCTGAGCTTCCCATTTCATCATTTGTAAAGTGGCGATGCTAATACTTACAGGGTCTACCTCACAGGATTGATCAAATGATATAATATATGAAAACCTTAAAATGCCACATACATGTTAGTTATTATTATTGTTGTTGTTATTACCATCATCATCCTTGGGTTGTTGTCAGGATCAGTTGTATAATGTTTATAAAGTGCTTGGAAACCTTGAAGTTCTAAGAAAACATCAGCTCTTACTATAACAAGGTTCTGTGCATTCAGTGCAATGGTTTCTGAAGTAATAGATGTGTCTCTGATAAACTCTGAACTGTCACTCCATTTTTGTTTTACAGAGAAACAGTAGCATACCAAATGGAAAAATACCAATGGAAAGCCCAACTCATGATTTTGCTTTTAAGGAGAAAGGTAATTATTTAATTAATGACTTATCCTATAGACAAAATCTATGACTGCTCTTGGCAGATCTGCCCACTGGCAGATATTGCTAGGTAGGAGGGAGGGAGGAGATGGGGCAGGAGGAGGAGAATACTGCTTGAGAAGCTCCCACCTCAAGCTCTTCAAGTGACTCTGGAAAACTGGCTCCCTCTGCCAGCAAGCAAACCAACTCTCTAGCGCATTTCCCCAGCCGGGGTATCAGAGCCCCCTAGCAGCTCTTTCCCAGGTTCTACCACGACCATGTTCCTCCTGAGTTCTCAGGACTGATAAGAGAAGGAGCTGTTGAGAGGCGAGTCAATAACGGGACGTGGCGGGTGGACCCAAGAGCCATGCGCAAGTCTTTCCAAATCCAGTCGTGCACCTCAACCCAGCCCTTGGCTGAGACATCCATAGGCTTATAAGAACGAGAACCAGTTAGAACAAGGAGAAGCAATGTTCTGGTGCTTTACTACTAGTCCTCCACTGGAGTTCTCCCCTGATGGCTTCTCCTGACTCAGAGGGGACCCTGGATACTTAAAGGCCATCCCCAGCGGAACAGTAGCTCTCATATAGGACTGGCAACAGACTCTGTCTGTCATCCAGGGATCAGCCTTAGCTCAGAAAGTCTCATCATCGTAAGGTTGGCCACCAGGTTTTTTATGGCTACCACAACCCATGAAAACATCTCCTAAGGCATGTCAGAGTCTCCCTGTTTAAGACTGTTTCTGGGAAATGAGGATGTAACCATTATTGATCTCTAGGATGAGGACCCAAGATGGAAAATCCTGTACCTTATGCACAACCTTTTCATGAGAAGTGGTATTTATTTTTGAACATTGTCCTGAATGGCCATCGTCGACCATGATGATGAGCTTGATCCTGTGTTTCTGGAATGCAGAATTTTGTCCGTAGTTTTTTCTTCCCTTAGAACTGGAATTTTCAGACCCCGAAGAGACTAATGAGTATGAAGTTGAGCCAATGAGTGGAGGGATTGAATTTCTAGCCAGTGTTACTCAAGACACAGCCACAGATTCAACAACAGGTAAGAAGAGTAAAGCTATTTCTGCCCCTGAAAAGGGGATCACTCAGGGGAAGAAACCCCTGGGGTTTCTTCACGAAATTGCTTAGGAGCTCTATGTTGAAATATGTCCATGCCTCAGACATTTAAATCGCTGGCCATGTGATAAGGAAATGGACAAATCAGGAGTGTGAGAAAGACATTAGTGATATAGTGAGACCAAGTGGTATGGGGAGGGATGGGGATGGGGAAGATAGAGTCAGAGAGTAGGTGGATAGGTGTAGGCATGGGTGTCTATTTTGATACCCAAGAAATGATGGTCCATTGGAGTGGATACTCCATACACCAGCACAAATCACAATCCTTTTTATGGCATAGTAGATAGTCTTCAGGAGTTGTTATGGCCAGAGAATTCATCACCCTGAGGCCAACCTGGTGATGAGGATCTCTGAACTCAGTCAGTTAGTCTGGTATTTTGATGACATAATCCATTATAGGCCTTGGCACCTTGATAAAATCCGCCAAGGCTTGCACTGTACTGGCCTAGTCATGGAGAAGCTAGTGTCATTGCCATGCCACAATAAGTCATTAAAAGGAAATTTGTATAGACTGTGTGTGTGAGTGTATGTTTTAATGCTTTGATTTTGGTGTGTATATGTGAAATGTTTGTTATACTTACCAAGAAGAGAACAAATTCTCATGAAATAGCCTTATTTTACCTGAGATCCTCATTCTGAGAATCTTAAGATTAGGTATTGGATCTTCCTTCATTTTAAATAGGTCCATTTAAGAGCTATATTGAGATACAGCTAAGTGTAAGATAGTTCCAGATGGGGTGATTTCAGTCCATGGCACATGGGGCTGAGGAGCCACATATCCAGTCCATGTAATGTCATCACTCTACTTGCAAGTGGCACTTTTCTTTTCAGGGAGTTCCTGCCATGAGGCAAATAAACCAGTAACTGGCAACAAGGCACAATTCTAAACTTGACCATAGCCAGCTCCAAGGGTCTGTGCTTCCTTCAGGACTGACACAGCTCTGCTGTGGCTCTCTACCACTGACGTGACCTCCCATTGCCCTTCTTTCCTAGGGATTGATAACCCAGTTTTTTCAACGGAAGAGGAGCAGAGCATCTTTACAAAGGTGCCACCATGGTTGTCTTCTGAGGAGACAGTGGTGCCATCGCAAAGGGCACGAGTGCAGATTCCATACTCTCCCAGCAACTTCAGGCGTCTGACACCAATACGGCTCAGCGCTAAGTCAGTCGATTCCTTTTTGCTAGCTGACAGTCCAGAGGAGCAGTCTTCGTCTTTCCTGCCAGAATCTACACATATGTAATTTTTTTAATGCAACCTCATTTCTTTTTAACTCATCTCCTCTGCTATAGCTACCTAACAAACCTTTGATCTCTTTCCTCCTCAGATAAATTTTCTCTCTGCCTCTCTGTCTCTGTTTCCCACTTTTTTCTTTCCCTCTCTTGTGGTCTGAACGTGCACTTTGGCTGGACGTGGAGGCATGTTGTGTTCATTCCTAAGGAAACCACTCCTGGTACCTCCTGGATGGAGGTTCTTTCTGCCTTTGATAGTCAATCCCAGTAGATACAGTCTGATTTAAAGATTTTCCTTCTGCCATTCACGTAGTGCTTTTCTGACTATGTGTAAATGTGCTTCCTCATTTAAGTCACTTTTATTTACTCTACCTATAATTTGTTTCTTTGATAGCAAACTTTACTTAAAACATGATTTAAAACGAAGCTAACGTTTTGCCATAGTCAATGACTTTTCATTAAAAGTTTTTCAGAACTTAAGGTATAGCTCTGCCCTCAGATTTGAGAGTCAAAAGGGATAAGCTAAGGTGAGGAATTGGCAAAGGAGAAAGAGTCATGGTCCCAGGGAAAAGAAGGATCTTGCTTTTTCTTTCACCTAACACATAAAATACTATGGGCATTTGAAAGGTTCATGAAAGGAAGAGCAGATCTCATTTCAACACTGATGTAAGAGCTCCTAATTTACTGAAGGAATACAACAATAAAACCCAACAAGATCAGAAACCACGGTATGATTATATTTCCCTGGTGGATTATTAATCTTAGGGATCACAGGAATCCAATACAATTCCCTCCCAAGCAGGCAAGTGTGGCTTCCGTCAGCCATGGCTGGGGACCTCGACCTTCTGTAGGAGGCTCTGCTTCCTGTGCCAAAGATGGAAGAACCAGAGATACCAATACCATGGGGAGAATCAGAGGTTCCAGAGTGACCATACCTTTATTAACTCTGCTGTGGGGGGAGGGGTGCACTGTATCAGCAGGGCAGTTACCCCTCTATTGGATGGAGGCTTTGAAGGGATTTGGGGTCTTCCTGCTCTTTGTTTTGGGGTTGCAGCAGCTCCACCAGAGCTTCTATCCCACTAGAACATCATCATTTAGGAAAGGTCGAGCATAGAGTCGTGAACTAATGTACCTAGAGGTCAGTTGCCCTAAGAAGAGTGGATAGAAAGCAGAGTGTCATGGGCCTTCCCAACCCCAAGGTTGCACCCCCAGAACTTGTACAAGAAATCAACACTGGGTCCTCTTTCTTTTTCATGCTTAGAAATTAAAAAGTGCTTTAAAATTCTAAGGACACTCACAGCTGCATGTTGTATTTTTCTTTCTTTTCCCAGTCCCTGAGAAATGATACAAGAAAGTGTCAGTCTGTGAAGCAGTAGGCACTAGTCCTGTTCAAAAAGAATGGGACTGAGGCAGGATGAAATGAAAGTGCTGGAAGTCGTAAGCTTCTCACTTCCAGTTTAGCCAAACCTACTCCCTTCCTGACCAGTGGCAATAAAAAAGTAAACAGACAAATTAATAAATGAATACATAAATAAATGGATAGGTGAATAAGTAAGAAATGGAAAACAACAAAAAACCACAAGGAAAACATCAATACTCTCTAGTTCTCCTGCAGTTTTCTATTTGTGCTTTGTTTCCCAATGCTGATGTGGAGCCCAAACTTTGCCTGCCTTAAGCTTTGGTCTTGGTTTCTGTTGCCAGGACTACTGAGGTGGGTCCAGGAACATGGCAAAGCCTTATATTTTCAGGAGGCAACTTCAAAGAATAGCATTTTAATAAATAGTTTTAGATTTGGAGAAAGGAGAGGAAATTTTCATTATTTCTAATGACACAAACAGCAAGTGCTTTAGCTTCATTTAAAACAGTGGTTCTTCATGTAGAATCTGTGGACTTTTTAAAAAACATATTTTGGAAACTGGATTTTAATATAGTTGTTTTCTTCTGCAGTCTTCTGTATTTTATTTTATACATCTAAAAGCATTTTTCTGAGATGAGGTCCATAGGTTTCACCGGAGTGCAGAAGGGCTCCATGATGCAAAAAAAAAAAAAGTTGAGAACTTTTGATTTAAAGGCTGTTGCTGAGTTTAAAACCTTTCCCCCAAATCGAGGTATGGTAGAATTCTGACTCTGATTAAATTTCATGTTGGTTTAGAAAGAAATTGAAACAGAAACAAGATTATTTTTTCTCTTTCCTGTAGTTTGAACTAATCAGTCTCAACTAGGGGGATAGTTGTCTCTTCCCCCTCCGAGATACCCTCTGTTGTTAGCAGGCCCACTTAGATGATTTCTGTGTAAAAAGCTGGGCCTTATCCATTAGCAGTAGTTTGGAATTGGAAACGATTGGTCAACAATGGGAGAAGCCACCTCTCTCAAGCTTCTCTGTCCGTGGTGACCAGGCAGCAGTGTCTGCCGAGGTCTGCCTCTCTCTCACAAGTATTCTGCTGCTGCCCCTGACTGGCTTTTGTCCTATGCCCTCTCCCTGAGCTGGAGGGCCTCCCCCCCCGCCCCAGGGACTACCAGGCAGCCAGGTAGCCCATTCCCAAGTAACACCTAATTGCTTCTTCCTCTCCCTGTAAAACCTCCCTTTTGCAGGGTGATACTTGCAAGTTTCAACCTGATTAGGTGAGGTCCCTTACTTTCTGAGCGCATACCTTTGAAGAGAGTTAAGGGCTAAGTAGAACCAAGAGGATTTTAACTTCAGGGCAAAAGCCAGAGGATGGGCTGGCTGCATCCAGTTCCTCCCTTCCTCCTGCACCCCTCCCACCACACCCCAACCCCCAACTTATCAGGGTTCTACTCTAGGACTTTTCTGGTCAGAGCCCTATTTATATGACAAAACATTGTTGTTTTTACCCTTGGGCAGGATCCTACACAATAAGAGTAAATTGTCAACCACAGAAGGGGAAGGGCACATGGTACTGTGTCCAGAAGCTCAAGCATCAATTGAGTACCCACCCAAGTCGTCAGCCAGATGGTACCCTGCCACCCTGCAATCACAGAATTCACTCAGCACCTACTGTATACAAGGCACTGTGCCAGGCCCTGAATACAAAGATGACTAAGTTGTAGTCCCCACCCTCAAGAACTTAATAAAAATAATTTGCACAGGTAGAAGACAGGACAAGATGAATTCTGCGAGCTTACTCAATAGATAGGGCCTCCTCAGTCAACTTCAAAGAGGTCAATTGGTGTCCACAAGGCTTTTGAAAATAAATTTGAGGGAAAGAGCCCCCCCCCCAGCCTACAGTCTCTTGCTATAGAGACTCTAAAGAAAGGAGATATTAAAAGGATATTCAGTCAGAATAAATGAATGAATGACAAGAATTAATTAAGCCCTTATTATATGCCAGTCTAAGTGCTGTGAATACAAATACAAAAGGGAGACAGTTCTGCCTTCAAGGAGCTTACATTCAAAAAAGAAAGCAGCACATGTAGAGAAGGGGTAGACAATGAAGAGTTATTCACGTCAAACCCATTCTCCATGGGTGCTTGCCATGGCTCTGTCCTGGACCCCCTCATCTCCTCCCTCTGTATTATCTCGCTTAGCAAGCTCATCTGCACCCCCGGGCTCAGTTATCCTCACTATGTGCAGAGTTTCCAGATCTGTATATCCATCCCTATTCTCTTCTGAACCCAGTCATGCATCCCCACCCGCCTTTTGAAAATCTCAAGCTAGATGTCCCATAGATACCTCAAACTCACCATGTGTGGAACAGAATTCACAATCTTTCCCTAAAACTTTCCCCCTTTCTGAACTTCCCTATTACTGTTGAGGGCACCATCATCCACCCAGACCTGGAACCTTGGGGTCCCCTTCAACTCCTCCTTCTCACTCATTATGGCTCCTAGTCTTTCTCCTCCTACACGCCCCCTTCTCTTCACTCATTTAGCCACAGCACCTGTTCAATCTCTCATCACCTCTCACCTGGACTACGTCAGGGGCCTTCTCACTGGTCTCCCTACCTCAAGCTTTTCCCCTCTCCAATCCATCCTCTACTCATCTTGCCAATGCAATTTTTCTGAAGTTTGACCATGTCACCCCCTCTGCTCCATGAGCTGCCAGTGGCTTCCTGATTCCTTCGGGATAAAATAGAAAATCCTCTTTTTGACTTTTCAAGGCAGCCTCTTCCCGTCTTCTTACACCTCACTGCCTTCCACAAATTCCACAATGCAGCCACCCTGGCCTCCTGGTGTTTCCTGCCACACAACTCTCCATCCCCTGTCCCCGTGCTTTTGCCCTGGCTGTCCCCGATGCCTGGAGAGCTCTCTGTCCTCTCAGCTCTACCCTTTAGTTTCTGATACTTCCTTCTGCTCACATCCCTCCACCTATAAGAATTCTTTCCCATTCTCTCCACCCCCAGATGCTAATGCATTCCCATTTCTGATTGCCTTCCATTGACTCTGGATATATATCCAGATAGATATATCTGATATATATTTTTTATTAGTTACATATTTGTCTCCCCCGTTAGAATGTATGCTCTACAAATACAGGCACATATCTATCTGCATGTCCCCCAAATATTCTTCTTATAAAGATGAAGAAAGCAGAAGGCCTAGATAGGTAAAATGACCAGCCCATACTACATAGAGTAAGTAACAGAACTGTTATTCAAAGCCAGATCCTCTGACTCCAAATCCATGGCTACACTTCATCTTTGATTTTGACCTTGGGCAGGTCTCTTTTCTTCCTCAAGACCTCAGTTTTTTCATCTGTGAAATTGGGATAATAATACCTGTCCTAATATCTGGCTGATATTAGGGCTGTGGTAAGGATCAAGGGAGAGAATGTACGTAAAGTCTTACTAAGCCATAAGAAAGCACTACATAAATGTCAGCTCTTACTGTGACTAGAGAGTACCAGGGGACCAGAGTTTGAGGCCTAATTAGCTGTGTGATTTGTCACTTTTCTCGGCTTGTCTCCTTGTGTAAAAAGAACACATTGGATTAGGTGAACACAAAGGGCCCTCCCAGCCCTAACATGCTATAATTTTAATATTTCGTTTATTCA